TTCATAAGTAGGGGGTAAGAATCAAGAAACGTATAGGATCACAATTACCCGTAATAAGAGCAACCTTTCCACTTAAATTTCTGCCTAGTGCTGCCATTTTGATCTGAGTCACAGGACGAAAAGAAAGGAAATATTAAAAAATTTTGACTGTTAATCAGTTGTTGATTTGTGAAACAAATAACACACTTAACTATGACTTAAAACAGACAAGATTCACCTCCGTTTTGTAGAATCTAGATCTATATTTCTAGATCTTTATTGCTTTAACTTAATTATTTAGAGATCCTAGATCTACAGTATTAGATAATTAGTTTATCACTATGATTATCATTATGAAACTTCACCTAAACTAGGCTAAACTAATTTACTATTATAATAATTAATTAATGTAATCTAGATTTCTAGATCTAATATTAATAAGAGTTAAGAGTCTATGACTCTTATTATACTCTATACCCTAGAAGTAGGATTGTAGAATCTTGAGTCAATCTGGACTAGACTAGAGTCTAGAGATATTTTTTATATAATAATATTCAGTGGTATTTTACGTCTCGAGAGATGATCTTTTCCCTTTGCAACTTCTTGTGTGATTAAAGAGGCCAATCCTTGATACACAGGTTGGGCATATGTAATCACCAGGCGCCGTTGCATTTTCACCCTTCTTTCTGCTTCTGTTGTGTATGACATCTGCAATCCATGACCCTTCCTTTATGCTCTCTCTCTCTCCATGTGGATCTATCCAGTGCCACCTCTTATAATAATAGATTCTTAGATGTCTTAGTGATTCTATAAATAGATCTAGACAAAGACTAGAATCTAGTGAGTAGAGTAGATTCTAAAGCTAGACTACTCAGACTATGACTGTACTCAAGTACTGTATCTAGATCATATATTAAATATAATAAGTAGACTAGATCTAAATCTTCTGTGATTGAAATCTAGTCTAGAATTCTAGATCTAGAATCTAGATTCTACTATTCTAGATTATATCTCTTGATGATTGAACTGATTGATGTACTATATATATATCTTTAGTCTAGAGATATATATACAGACAATATATAGCGTATAGTCTATATTTTCTAGATCTTCAATCTACAATAATAAATTATATTTAACTAGTCTAGATCTCTAGTTCTATTTAATTTATAGAGATCTAATCTAGACCTAGCTAGCTTTTTATTAAATCTATGTTTCTGTAAACCATTCTGTCACAGACTTTGTGATTAGATTAGGGCTAAAATTCTCCCACCGGAACCTTCTAGGGGTAGATTTTTTTCTGAAAGTAAGTTACATATTATAGACATTTTCATTGAATGTAGCATAAATGAGAACAATGGCCATTAGTATACCTATTCAATTATAGGCTAAGGAAAATAATACTAACAATCTAACATAGCGATGAATGTTAACATTTATGTTGAACTGAATTTTATTAATTATTAGAGTAACAATGTAAACCGAGAATAAACAAACATATATTGACCGATTACTCATTATTTATGTTCATCACATCATCTGTTACTATGTCAATGTCATTTAAACACTACATTTGTAGTAAGAATTACCAAGAAGTTCATTTTGGTCAAAACTTAAACAAAATTCAAGAACAGGACAACTCTAGTGAGGCTACTCAATCAAAAATCCATGTATCACAAATAAATCCATAAAAAATTGATTGTTTGTTTGGGCTGATTAACTTCAGCTGTTGAACTTTAAATGAGATTTTATTAATAGGTTTATTGCCATATAGTCTTGAGTCTAGTTAATAAGTTCAAATTCCAGAATCAATCAGAAAATTATCCAATTAATTCATTATTGGTAATTAATTAATTATTGATATTGATTAAGGGAAATAAAGTTTACGGTATTGATAGATATGGTTTTAAGCATACAGTTCTTTTATAACTTACTATGCAATCTTCTCTGGTCATAAATGAGAAGCATGGTAGAAAGGCCAAGCGCGCTTGAACTTGGCTTGGCTTGACTACCTAGGAGGGGGCTCGAGGTTCGACACCCGACTCGGACAGAGTTGTGTTTACTGAGCACCTAAATGCAGCATGGAAAATCAATTCCTAGATACTCTCCCCCCCCCCCCCCCCCCCCCCCAATCCACAAAAGAGATTGGACCAAAAGCGCTCTAAGCATGCTATAAGTGCTATATAAAAGCTATAATAATAATAAATACCTCACAAGCAGTGTGGTTAGCACATCTGCCCATGGAGGCACGGGCCATTAATTCAAATTCATGTTGCTCCACTCTAAGTATTTTTTATATTTTGTTTCATTAACTTGGTTTTATTTTAAAGGTATTACAAATCAAAAGTATTATTTGAACATATACATATTTTTCTATTATTTAAAATTGTTTATGATTATTGTTTTGTATATCATTTATATTTTCTTTTTTTTGGTTAAAATTTTGCCCTATTTTTAAAAATTCAGAGTTATCTCTTTTTTGTTTCGTTTTCTAGCCAGAATTAGGCTGGATTGGGTTAAAAAAATTATTCTGTAACATCTTAAGACTTTTATGAGCTATTTGTAGCTCTCAAACTTTCACTTGTTTTGAGAACTATTTCCACTTTGTTTCTTGCAACCATTGACACATTTTATAACATGACAAGGATATACTTGTTTTTCTTTAAAGAATTTCATTGAATAAGTTAAAGAATTCTTGCATATGCAGAAACCAGAGAAACAAACCAAAATACATTTTCACTTTGAAATAACTGGTTTAGAAGTATGGTTCTTAAGTTGTAATTATTTATTGTTTAGTTTAATGTGTATATATTTGCTTTCTTGCTAGGTTGAGGAGCAGCTCTATCATAGGTACAGGTGGCGAAATGGCTATGAAACGTATTTCAAAGGTGAGCACAGACTAGAAACTAATTGTTTTATAGATAATGAGATGCGTTTACTTAGCTGTTTAAAAAAAAATACCCTACTTGCAAAATTTAGATTTATCTATTTATTCATTTTTCAAAAACTTGAACTCTTTTTTTGTCCCTTTAAATTAATGTCATAAAAAAACAACAAAGACATACAAATGTTTAAACAAGTTAATTTTATTGCTCTAAACAAATGGAAAATCAGTTGTAGTAAAATTGTCCACCTCACCATTACTACAATAACATGTAGATACCAATCAAGCAACATACATACTACACACAAATACAACCAGTTCTTGGTGAATTGGGCAACTATTTTTTAGTTATAGATACTTTCAAAACCTTTACAAAATACAGCTTCATACTTAATTCACACAGCTAGGCCTTTTCAACACTTCCTTACAATGCTTTTTGAAAAAAGAAGATCAGATAGGTTTTTCTTCTTGTTCTAATCAAAACATAAACAGCTGTTCTTATATGAAATACGAAAGTTAAAAAACTTCGGATCACATCATTCTTCATCAGAAATAATCTAATGTTACTCTGTATTCAATCACAGTAGTAGCTATTGAGTTCAATGCATCGGTGGATGCAGAGGTTGAAAATTATTGGCTAATAGAAATCAGGTCCATTCAGATTATTTGAATCCCTGTTTAACATATTCAGTGCCCTGCCCCAACTATAACTAATGAGTATTTCATAGCTTGCTGGTAAAAGAGAACATTTGGAATATTAACATTAAATGGGATTTAAATGCTGATAGATGCTGAATCCACCTCGCATGCTTAACAGCCTTCATCATGCTAGTACATTTTTATCTCTCTGTTTGTGTGCTTTATTGGTGAATAGTTTTACTTAAAGCAGCGAAAGTGAAAAGATTGCAAAGATGCTAACAAATTGCATGTCTGTTTTGCAGAAATTTGACTTTCACAGGCAGTCTTGGAACATATTCCCCACATTTTCTTCACTGCTACTACAAATGTTTCAATAAAAATCAACATTGTAATGCTATTTAGCCACTACCAGTAGAAAATTGTAAAAAAAAAATGAAAGTAATATTTATTTATAAGTTCTTTTTTTTTTTTATATAGGAATTAATGGACCTGCACAAAGATCCACCTACTAATTGCTCAGCAGGACCTGTAGGAGAGGACATATTTCATTGGCAGGCAACTATTATTGGGCCAGAAGACAGTCCTTATGCAGGTGGATGCTTCAACCTTAACATACACTTCCCTACAGATTATCCATTCAAACCACCAAAAGTAGCATTTTCAACAAAAATCTACCACCCTAACATCAATAGCAATGGTAGCATATGCTTGGACATTTTGCGTGGTCAGTGGTCCCCAGCCCTCACTATTTCAAAAGTCCTTTTATCTATCTGCTCGCTTTTAACGGATCCCAATCCAGATGATCCTCTAGTTCCAGAGATTGCTCGTATTTACAAGACAGATATTGCCAAATACAATGAAACTGCACGCGGCTGGACCCAACGCTTTGCCATGTGATGTTAGCCCCTTTTTACACTTATCATAACCTGAGTCTGTCTGTTTAGAAATAATTGTCTACAAAATCTATATGTAAACTAATTTTAAAAAAGTGAGAATTAATTCAGTTATTGCATACAATTTATTAGTAAAAAGAAGGCGTATAATTATGAACGATTAAAAAAAAAAGATCAATTTTTCAGTTTTTTTTTTGTAGTTTTTTATTTTCAACAGCAATTTGACTTTTAGTTCTTTAAGTCAGAACACTTTGATAAATTTGAGTTTTTATAAATTGAGTTTACTTTTTGTCTATTATTATTTTCTTTTTCGTGGGTAGGGTGGGGTTCATAAACAAAGGCTTAATAAATGCCATTAGTATGATGACTACCTGTGCCCTGTCCAACAGAATTCATTTCCAAAACATTTGCCAGCTGTTTTTAAGCTGCCATGTAAATTTATCTTTAAAAAAAATTTTTTTTTTTTTTTTTTGCTTTTGAACATAAAATGAAATGACAAGAAAAACATATAACCATTGAAACCTTTTGTATCTGTCTTGTGTATTTAGCTATTTCATAGCCAAAGTTTGACACCTTATGCTTAGCTGATAAAAAGTTGCAGCCTTTTTTTTTTTTTTTTTTTTTTTTTTTAATTTTTTTAAATACCGGTATTGAAAGTTGCCATATTGAAATAGTTTTCCTTAATTGAGACATGACAGGAAACTAATTGATTTAGAGATGATATTATAAACAGCAATGAGCCGCCACTAACAGTAGAAGTGAATGTGACCAGCTGTAATGGCTTGGTTCTGAGTCGGTTTTTTTTTTTTTTTTTTTTTTTGGTGATTGTATTCTTTGCTCTGGTTACTGGTGACTAGTGTGTGGCATGTTTCTATGTTTAGTTTCACACTTCACCAGTGCAGTATCTAATTATTATAGTCTTTGTTTTGGGGGAATGGTCTGTGAAAACAAAAATTAAATTTTTTAGGGATTTTATTACTTAAAATATATATACATAAATGTCTCTAATTTATTTTAAAACTTTTTGGAAGTAATTTTTTTTTTTAATGAGCGTCATCTTGCAGTCTTATGTTAATTTGAATAATGTTATGTTTTTTATTGTCTCTTGTGATTTGAGGGTATTGTCCTGGCATTATGTATGCCTGTGTGTTTTGTTCATTATAACCACTAGTAGAATAATATTCAAATAAAAAACACAAAAAAAAAAAAAGAATGTTCACACTCAGCATGTTATCAGTTTCTTTACTATGAGTAGACCAAGTTGTGTGATAAAATTAGTTTTCTTTTTGTTGTTGTTGTTTTTTTTTTCCCCACAAATTGCTTCCCTATAAACTTTTGCTAGAATTGTTTTTTCTTTTCACTTTAACATGGAAGTTCTTAAGAGTCAAGTTATTTTTAAACTGGTTGATATAGTCATAAGCAAAGTTGGCAACTTTTCAGCAAATGTCTGCAGCAACTCAACGGTGATGTAAAGATTATCTTATTAACAGACAACATTTTGTATAAAAAAAAAACTAAAGCATATGATTTAGATTTTTTTTTTTAATGTCAACACTGTTTCATATTTCAATCCCTGATGTTGTATTTCTGGAATGAGTGAGAGATGTGTTTTGTGTTGAAATTTTGACATTGGAATACTTGTGAGAAGAATAAACTTGAAAAACTTGCAATGGTGTCATTTGTTTCTTTATTTCATGCAAATATTTTGTTGGATCTCAAATTTTCCTTATAGGTCAGAATTTAATTATAGATTGGACTAGATAAATTTAGAATGTTTGTTCAAATTAGAACTTAAAAACTAATCTCTACTGAGATAATGCTTATACATCATTGTGCTATGTCAATATAGAAGTTAGGAGCCTATGCAAACTAGAGCTATAAGATTTATACTGGGTAACAAATATTTACATTTGACTACTGTAAGACTATCAGTAAAATCACTAAATAATAGTAAATATAGAGACACTTAGGACAAAGTAGTATTAATACATGAAACCCTGAACCATAACTTACAAATAGAGAAACATGACCTAATAAAATATCATGGCACACTTCTTATTCCATTAGCTAGGACACGTTTGTACAAGTTCTTCCCTAGTGCTATCAGAGCATGGAATGGGTTGCCTGAATCAGCCAAGAAAACCAAGGACTTCGCAGAATTTAGGTCTCTAATTTACATGCAAGAATAGATAAACGGATAAGCATAGGATGTAATTCTCTTTTGAAGGAGCGCCTGTAATTAATAAGATACTGTTACCATAAGAAATCATTAGCAATGATTATATAATAGATAACTAAAAACATCTTTTTAAGGTAAACATGATTTAAACCTGCATTGAGGAAACATTTAAATGTTCCAATATTTTTTTAGGAATACCAGTATTCAAAAACATTACATTCAGTAAGCATTTCAATATATATTATCTACATAGCGGTTTGAATAAAAAAAAATGTGGTACTAAAACAATAACCCTATGGTTTGGAAAATTCATTCCTAATAATAGCAACAGTTGAGATAACACGGGTTCTGAAGTGGTAAGCATTGTGGACAAGTACATGAGTGTATTGAAAAACTAAACATGAACAGGGAAGTGGATAAACGACACTAGCCATCTGAACGTTCCGGTGTGTAGTTGCTGCCCCTTTTAATTGAAGTAGAATGTGTGTCGCAGTGACAGACTTATAAAAGTACTCGTTCGTCAGTGATAAATCAATAGACTGACAAAAGTTGCAGTGCTACAACTTCGCAACTACCGTAGATCTATATGTTGAACTGGACTTCACTACACTATGACTGCTACAAAATGAAGTGCTTGTTGGGAGAAAAAAATACTTATCTTGGTTGAATATTTTTGGAATGGTTGCATATAGATCTTTGGGAATTTCGGATTACTGTAGGCCTTATTTGCAAATGACTAGTTTTCCCGTTCGTTACGGTTTAGATATATATATATATATATTAGATCTAATCTTATCTTATATGATACAGACGTTACTTAAAAAAAGAAGATGATTACGTCCTACGAGTCATGCATTTTAACCACTGACCTAAACTCCGCCAAGTCACTGGTTTTCCTGACTAACTCAGGCAGACCATTCCATGCTCTAATAGCGCTAGGGAAGAAGAAGCTTTTGTACAAATTTGTCCTAGCATATGGAACGAGGAATGTGCCTTTATCTTTGTGCCTTTCTGGGTATTTTATTAAATTTTGTATTTGAAGATTATTGATCTTAATATTGATATTAATCTCTTGCAGGCCTATATCTGCGTTTGTTGTAAAACTTTGTTTAAATTAAATATAATCTAGTTATTTGTATACTAAATATACTATTTATGTATTTTTCACTTTCACTTGGAAGTACGTGGGCAAGTTTTGACTATAACAAGGTGTCAATGGGTTTAAAAAAAAAAAAGAAAAGGCTGGGAACCACTGTTCTGGATCTATATAAAATAAGATCAAGTTGCGCCCCCCACCCGCTCCCCACAATACCAATAATTAGAATCTTATGTTCCGGAGTTTAAAAACAAATTGACAGATACCACAAACAATATGGCTGAACCAGCCTTGAAAACTGTTTGGTTTGCAGTAAAGAGATTAGATTTGAACGGTATGTACACAGTTTGATTAGATCTAGAAATAGTACAGTATCCATATGAGTGTAATAATATGTTTTTCAGTACTGTTATTGTAAATAATTATAGAACTAGTTTTTTCATGCGAGATCTCAGATCTTCTTTTTATGTTATTATTATAAATAATTTATTTATTTATTATAATAATTATATTATTTATAGATAATACTTAATTAATAGATTCTTGAATTTCTTCTATCTAAAATTCTAAATTATAAAATAAAATAGAGATGATGATCATGAAGCTCTGACAGATACAGTATAAACAAAACACTATACTAGTGTATAGTGTACAGAGTACACTAGTGACTAGATCTAGATTCTAGAACTAGTTTACAGATTTACAGATAATGACAGATGTAACTTCAGAAAACAAGATGATTATCATTAGTGTTCTTAGGTTAATGAAGTCAATCTAGTCATTGCTGACTCATGCATGTCAATCAATGACTTAAATCCTATAATACTTAACAGACTAGCTTCGCTGTCTTAATTTAGTAGTTGATTCTGCAAAATATCCTTCAAAACTGTAATTTTCGTATCATTGTTCAAGAGCTAGATGTGTTTATCTCTGCATCCAATTATCGATGGAGCTTTATGACAACAAAATTCACTTTAAAATCTTTATTTGAAAAATGATGGAAAAATCAAATAGAATCATTGATAAAATGTTTTCGAAATTCTTTAATTTGTTAATTTGCAGCATTCTCTTAGTTTTGGGCTCTGACTTAAATTTAGAATCTATATGAATATAATAAATCATGAATACCTTATCTCTAGATTTACAATAATCTAGATGTAGATAAGACTTGTTTTTTCTATAAGATTCTTTAGAATTAAATCCAATTTAAGAATCTATTTATGTTATTCTAGATCTAGATTCTAAAAGCAGTTAGATAAAAATTTCTAAGTGATAATATAAAACTAATATATTTATATAATATACAGGCTACACTGTTAAAAAGAACTAATATTTTATTTACAGAAATTTCCTAAGCACCAAAATTTATATTTGTATGAAAAATAGATCTTGAAATAGAGATTTTATTTGGGGGGGGGGGGGGGGGGGGGGTAAACAAATTTAATATATAAAAAAAAAAGAGAACACAAGCTGTTCTAACCAGCTCTATTGTCCATTGGCATGGTCATTAGTTGACTGATGTTGCAGTTAAATGATAGGCAAGCAACATGGTTAATATTTTAGTGCTTCATTCAAAGGGGAGACTGCTTTCTTTAAATGGTATTTTTTTTTTAACTAGGACATTCTGATTTCAAATGCAGTTAACAAATGGATAATAAAAATAAAGGTCAAAATGGAGTCATCTTAAAAACTTTAAAAAAAAAAATAGTATGAAGAAATTGACGCCCGAAAGAAACACTTCCATCAGTTGCAGCCTTTCTATCTTCAATTAATTGTAATATACAAACTTTATGTCAATAATAATGAATAACACCTTAACATCCCAGCAGAAATGTATTTTCAATTGCAATGAATCCTTAATTAGATCTGTAACTATTGTTTCAAATTTCTTATTTAAGAGAATGAAGCCAAGGAAGTGATCTCATTGTTTGTCAAGGAGGATGACAAAGTTTCTGTTGTGACTCAAAATCTTTTCTCTAAACTTCAGCTCAATAGTAATGAGTTAATTCTACGGGTAAGTTTTTAATTCTGTATTCTTTACTGTTTTGACCTTCACACTGATTGAATTTATAACTTCCATACCTATGTTTTTAGTCTTTTAACTAAAGAACAATATGTTTTCTAATTGTTATTTTCAAAATAAACCTTACTCTTTGACAACATTCCTGAGAATGCAATGGACTTAAACTTTTTTTGCATTTCATTAATAAACCTTAAAGAAAGTTAACTCCACTTACAGTTGTAAAATAACCAGAAACCATCAAAACATTTTGAGAATCAATGCTGAATAGAGTTTTCTCATGTCATATATACATATTGTTGTAAATTTGGTGGATACATGGATATGTGTAATTGTTTGTGTAACCAGCTGACACAAATTACACAGTCCAGACGAGCTATCAACAGTGACTAGTGGTGTGGGTCAACTATTACTAATAATACATAATAGTGGCAACGCATTTCTGGAAAAGATCTGTGTTGTGAAAAATACTCATGCCAGTCATGTCAAATATAGTCATGTGATCATTCAGAAGTGTCAAGCAAT